TTTTTTCAATTTGATGTTCCTTCCCCTCTGTGAAGCCTGAAGTCAACTAAAGGGCTAATGATAACCATCAAGACGCCTGCCATTTGATATAAATACATAATTTCATTGCACTTTTCAGTGCAATCATATGTATAATCATATCAGATCTAGAATACCGTGGGGGATGATTGAATGTTGGAAGTAGTAACGAAGAGTTTTTTCCTGTCATTCTTTCGCTCACATACACGAGCGTATCAATTTTATTGGACAGCTTTAAAGGCGTGTAATATACACAGCTAAGAATGACAACAGCTTGATTGTGGTTAAAGGCAATTAATTTGAAGGTCAACAGGAGTAGGAGAATTTAATTTAGTCAATTTTGACGAATAGGCATTTAAATTATCTCAAAATTTTGGGAACTGCTTTTATAACTCGCCCACGGATGATGCACAAATAATCACTGACAGAATCTCAGCAAATCCTTCAACTGTATCGAGGAGACACAGAGTTTAGTCATTAGCTTACAATTAGGGCTTAGCTGACAACGCAGAGCTTATTGATTGGTGGTTGATTGAGAGGTCTCTGCCTTCATGCCCAACTTTGATTCTTATCCGAACAGAATTACTGCCGGCCTTCCCAGACTGTTCGAGTGCTCATGGAAACCCCATGTTCAGTCTCGATAGCTTTGAGCGCTCTAAAATACCATAACACAAAAATTATTAAAGATACAATTATTCATAATCTGCTGAACATCACCAAGCATCTACTCTAATGTGATTCAAACTTCAAGATAAACTAGTTTTGAAATACGTAATGAGCAAAGTAAGGGGATCGTAAATGTCCGTTAATGGGAACGATATCTGGGATAATTATTCAGGCAACCCAGAGATTGCTAAATCTTCGTGTTCTAGGAGCTAAATCCGCTCCCCAGGACGAAGATCACATTGATTGTTTAAATCTAATTTCAACGCAACAATGAATCATCTCTTTATTTAGGTTAATTCGAATGAAGCAGTTGGAAGCTACTTAATTTTCAAACTTCCGAGATGCCCTTCTTGTCTACTGATTCTAGATTAAATAGAAGTGCAGTAAAATTATATCCCCATAGAACTCGATCAAAAATTATCTTTTCATTGGTATAGCGGTACTATAAAGACTCGTTAGGCATGATACTGCAATTTACAAGATAGGTTGGCCACAACTTTTCGCTTGAGAAGTTTCGGTATATACCTTGCTACTCATAAACAATAAGTAGAAGTGCTATCTAAATTCAATTTCCATATAACCACTATTAATATAGAGGTCAAAAGAATGTTCAACACGCGTATCGTACATTTCATCAAATCTTCGAATTGGAGAACGAAATAAGTGTTAATGACTTCTGAAAACTGTACTTAAAAATGTTCAAGCAAACGGGGAAGGAAGGCGAATTTAAGCAAAAAATTTGTAAGAAAAAAAGTACTTAATATAGATATACAATAATATCTACAAGAACGCATAAAATTGCTTAAAAGGATACATTATCGGTTAAGACTCGTTGTAAAATACAAAAGTTATTCCTCCATCTGATTTTGTGTAGCAACGAATTCCTCATTTTGTAAAGGAGCAAGAATTTGTAGGCACTCTTGAACTTGTCTGACAAAACCTGGAAAGTTTTTATCATTCAGACAAAGTTTGACAAGTTCAACAAGGCGATCCGTTGGCCAATTGGTATACCAGGCCGCATCCGCTTGAGCAGAACAATCACCACTTTTTGGGCCAATACTGGTCATAAGAGAAAGATAGTGTGACACTCTTGAATCTTCCTCTTCAGAAAGTTTGCTAGATTCAACATCTCCAAGAGCATTTGAAGGCGGCTTAGCCGAAACATATTGAGACAAATGAGAATAACATGAACGAGCATCATCAACTGAACCGAAGGTAAGCCGTAGCCGTCGAACCCTACTTCGTTCTCGGATGTAAAACATAATCTCTTCTTCTATTAGGACAACAAAATACATATCAGTGATATATAGATGCAATTTGTATTAAATTCCCCAAACCCACCAATGTTTACCATTTTGATCCACTTCTTGGCTAGGATAAGGAAGTAGGACTCAACAATCTCTGTGCCTTGCATAATAACAAGATGAGCGAAATCGGAAACGCGGATAACAAGTGGAGCAGCAGAGTGATCACGACGCGTTAACCAAACACCATTAACCTGTGATTTACCTTTAGCTGCCGAATCTGATTCTGAGGAATTCGAATTAGAAGATGAGGGAATTAAATGCGAGGTTGAGTCTGATTCACGGAAGCAGCGGAACATTGAGAGATTCCATTCTCTGGGTCCTTCATTCATTTCTGGATATAACAGTTCAATATAATCTAAAATAGAATAAATGCTATCATTGCAATATCCAACATATAGAAAGTTGCCTTAGAGGGTTAAGTATGCAAATTAAATAGAATTAGTAACTGAAGGTTTCCAATTTATGCAACGAAGTGGACTTTACCACGGTAAATAATATCGAAAGTGCTTTATAAATTCAATGACCTTGAATCCATTCACATTAGTTTAATTGCTCAAAATCATATTACTAAGTAACTACAACATTAGGTCAATTCTTTTAAATGATTAACTTTCTAAATAAAATTAACATTTTTCAAATATTTAAGTTTTCTTTTTCTTAAAATGAAACGAAATATTACGTTCATCAGATGTAAACTTGTCGGATAAAATTTGTTAATCAAATATTTCACTATGTCTTCTGTATATTTATTTTTAGCATAATAATTTTACTGCTATTATATTTAGTTGCCTAGTTTATTATTATTATGTCACAATATCTCAGCTTTATTTTTTCTAATTTGATACGTGCACTGAAAGGTTATAAATTTACAATTCTTTTGATAAAATACTAGAATCTAAATATAAAATAACATATGAGATGAATTTGTCCAAATACCTATTTAATAATGAATTAGTATCTCGGATCTCAATTGTCCATTTCTTGGGATGATTTCTAGTTAGGTTTTTGCTATGGGTCGATTTAATCACATCTCTCAAATAATTTTGACTCAAAAAATAATCGAAATTTCCTTTAGTGGCTTATTATGAATCAGACTGTGACTTCAAAAACATCGTATTTAAGCAATTTAACACAATCGTTTATAAAGTTGGGGAAATTTATGCAACTTTCTTGGCATGCTGATATAAACATTATGAAATACTCTAGGGATATTTTTTGTCAGACAGATATATCTTTAAAGTAAGGGCTATTTGAATTTTGGTTTAGGTATTCAAAAATAGCTATCAAACTTCTTTTTTATGTAGCAAATTTTAGAATCTACTCTTTATTTTTTCGTTATGCATCAATTATATTTTATTAGATGTTTTGTACTGAAGCAAATTCCTAGTTAATCAGGTTTCTTGATTTCAAAACCTAATGGATTTAGAAGTTTGGAAAAATTGGAAAACGAATCCAATATAATTTGACATATTAAACTGGTTTGAACTTAACATTATGCCTGTTATCTAACCTCGAAATATAAAATGTCCTTTGAAGAGAATTATGCAATTTTGATAAGTTTAATAGATCCTAGATACCGACAACAATCTTAAGAAGAATTATTTTGCTTCTGAACCGAATTTGTAAATGATTGGTTTGACGTATTCTTCACCTCGGTCAATATTAAATATTCCAGTAAGATGGGTTACTGTTAAAGTTATGAATGCAGTTTTGGGCAAACATATTTTTACAATAGTTCTCAAATACTTTGCAAAATGAATAGCCGATGCCACTCAGGACCAAGATAACTGGGATAGTTGACATCACCTTTGTCTATTCAACACACTTTAGCCTCATTTTTGGTAACTCCTAAATTGATGGCCTTGTGATTCTAACTTCAGAACAGAGCTGTTTATCATACAGAAAGTGGCATTAGTACTTTCTTAACATTGTGTGTATTTTTGTAAATATTTCAGAACATTCGCAATTCTAACTTCTGAAGTACATCTTCTGAGAATTACAAATGAGACAACCAATATACCATTTCTTTTTCCCCTATAGTCAGATTCCTGCAAAATTATAGAAAATTTCTAAAGTAACATTAAGTGTGTTGCCAAGTAAACGTTATATTATTTGTAGCTTCTTAACAGCAGCCACTGAGCTCCCTTTGTGTCTAGCTATTGTCATGCCAACGGCATAAATACGGTTGATATGGGATTTAAGTTGCTACGCAATGGGTAAAATATCTGGTGAATCTACCTTTACAAAAGATTTTTCTTTGACAGTTCGTTTATATTGTGGATTTTAATTTTAATATAACGTTACTTTTACGCGAGGGTAGCTTAGTCGAAGTATTCTCCTCCTTAAAATAAGATATACTAACTTTAGTATTTATGCAAATGTATAAACTTTAAAGTGAATTTGATGCAAAATTACATCGTTTAGGGGGAAACAGTGGTTAATAAACTGAATGTGTACAACGGATGAGTCGAATTCTGAAAGTATTATAAGCTTCACCAAATATCGATTCCATTTTTAAAGATATAATGAATCCTTAGATAATACAGTAAATGTTAGATTTTTAAAGTGATGCTATAAGATAAATACTTTGTGCGACTATTCCGTTATAAATGAAAACATATCATAATGGATAAACACTGATTTGAATCCAATACCTCAAAATATGCCAGAATAGAATTCAGCCTCGAAAATCAGCTACTTTACTATTTGCAAGAAATTAAATCACTTATCGTGTACCGCTTCGAATTTTCAAGACAGAAATAGCAAATCCATTAAGCTGTATTTTCCAAACGTGTTGGTCAAAGCAATTCGGGGAAGAATAGGGGAATTCGAACATCTGAACGGGTAGATTGCAAAAATTACATTCTCGTTTAAAAATATATTTCTTGCAATAAATTTGAAATTCAAATTTATATACTACTAATAAGAGAAATTAACGTTGAAAAATAAAAAAATTAAAGTTTATATGACTCTAATGCGGTCTCGGATTTTAAAAAAGTCAAACAAAACCCGAGTTTAGGTGAGCATAACTTGTAGCTAAAATCAGGATATCTATTAAATGGTCAAATAAATCACGGATGGTTTACTCTAAATTTAACTTTACTTAAAATTTAAGACAATTATGCTATTCAAATTACAAGAAACTTGTGCACTGCGCAGTCTTCCACATAATAAATGGTCGTAAAATATTAAATGTATGTCTGATGATTAAAATTCGCAGATCAGAGGAGTGAAAATAGTTTGTGAGTTTTAGATAATAAGGAATCTAATCTATTTATGATACAGCAGCAGTCGACTTATTTTTAATAGGGAGGTAGAGCTTATACTCCACCGGTAACTCATCCTCTGAATAGAGTCTGTCACAGAAATAAACTCTGCGGATTCTGCAATTCGCATGAATCTAATCAAGTAAACGGTAAAAAAAGTAAAAGAGATTTCAAACCTGAACTCTGAGAGTTTCAAGGTAATTTGTACCATAAGCTCGACGAGTAAAGTCGAACAGATTAAACTGAATCTGGTTCCAACCTTCATCTAATCGCATAGGCATAGTACAAATAAACGGTTTAACTCTGGTGGTGCTTTGATAGTTGCTTGCTCTAAAGCGACGCCGAATATTCTTGTCATCAAGAATCTAAATAATTAGATGAAATTCAATAAAACTTACTTGAACTTCGAATGTGAAATACTTTTTGAGATTTTTGACTATCATAACAAGATATGGTAATTTAATTCCGAGAGTTTTGTGTGGTGCAGTTGGGCACGATATGTGCGTTGTACTGAAGATAAGAAAAAGCAATGTCTTACCTAACGTTTGTTCCCATAATCTCCAGTACGAGTGACTGGATATCATTATCAGTAATTCTTTTTATATGGCCATTTTGAACCTAATTATAAATTATGCTTAAAACTATTTACAGTTTTATCCCATATTTGAAGAGGTTTACTGCCAATGCTATATAAAATTGAGAGAAATCCACTTTGGAAAGAATTTTTAAACATTTTATAAGCTTGATTTAGAGCCAAATTATGTGCTGTAAACCGTTGCCAAATTTTATAATCTACAACTTTATATAGACATCTAACCTGAGTGTGAAAAACAAATTCAAGGTGCTATCAAAATATAAAAATATTATGCTTTAATTTCATCTAAAATCGTCTTAATTAATTAAAAATGATCATATTTTCTATATATTGCTTATTAATTTGGTAAATTTAAGAACCTTACTATTTCTCCATAATTGGCTTTAGAGCTATACACAAATCTCCTGATTTAACTTAAGCTCAATAACCAGCAATTTTATATATTAATTTAATATTTGAATATGTTGTCAAAGCCTTTTTAATGCTCCCCTTTGATTTAAGCCATTTTGAGTCATTGGCCCCAGTTCGTAAAATAAACTAAAGAGGATTTCTAAGTAACGGGCCTTTAAAATGATTTCCAAATGGAATAAAATCTTAGGTATAGAAATTTAAATGGTTTGCTGGGTATCATCATATTCAAAGTCTTCAACTTCAGCTAGTTTAGAATACTCTCATACACCCATATTTTTGATGATAAACAATTCATTAAAGGAACCATAACTATCATTAATAATATGAGTAAGAGTATTGGTTCTTTGTCAAAATTTCTGCTACATATTCCAGTACTTTTAATTTAATTTCAATTTTGTAAGTTCTTTATCATCAATTGGACCTTATATCTAGCAGGATGCAATAAATATATATATATATATATATATATATATATATATATATTGGGCACTTGAAATTATTTAAACCAATAGGTCATTCTAATGTAGTTATCTATTACATTTATTAACAATGGAACTTTTATTTTTATCATTATTTTTATCATTAGCGTGGGCTAATGAACGGGCTTTCGTAAGGAATTTGCTTCAATTAATTTTCAGAAATTCTAAAGAAGTAATAGAGCTAAATTCAGTTTCCTCATTTTAAAACAACGAGCTACATGTATCTTCGTGGTAGTTTTTATTATATAAAGCCTCAAAAGGAAAAAAATTCTAAATTTATGGGTAAAACATCAAACCAAATACTAAGTATTGCAATACAGGTTTTTATTATTATTAATCCATTTAAAATCAAAATATCTTCACATTGCTCAAGTTACATCGATTTACTCAACCTCGAATAGTAACTCGGGGCCCATTCTTCGTTGGCGCCTAGCCATGATTTTTCCCGTTGAAGCAAGGGTTTCCAGGGCATCAAGGTCGGATCTCTTTAAGCAAACGTAACGATTGACACTCTCCTTATATGAACCCAATTTTGCAGCCCTAAACATATCAGTGGGAGCTCCGAGCATAGTTTGAATTTGGAAGATCACTAAAAGGCCGGTGAAGATAAAAAACTTTGTATGGAACATTTTCAGTCTGTTTAAAGGAAATCGAGATTAAAATCTACTCTTTGACCTCAAGCATGCATTTTATTAAGTTATTGACTTACGAGAGCTTTTGCCACGGATAAGCCTTCTCTGCCATTCAAGCTCCCTTTTATATCCATTTGAATGACTAGAGGGTAAACAAGCCATGACAGAAGATAAATCCTTATCTTCTTAACCGTCACTATGCAACTCGGTTAACAATTAAAACCGTCTGTGGATATTCTCACTGACTTAGCAATTCCACTTATTGACAGGAAAAAGATAATATATGAAAGAAAATAACTTGTTGCTACTTCATAGGTGAAAATAGTAGTAAATTCAGGTAATGTTGGGAAACATAAAAGTTGCAAATACAGCATAATATAATTCAGTGTTTTCGCATTCGTTTACTATTAACCAAAACGATTTAAAGTGGGCGGTGTCTCTATGATTCATTAAATTAGTTTAGATGATTTAAACAGTGAGTACGCAGAATGAATGGGGTCATGACTGACATAGCTCTGTTCCTGTCGAACGCCAATGCGAGAGAACATGAAGAGAGTATTGGGACTGCAGACCAGAAGAAAAGCACATGGGAAAATAGTCCAATCATGGCACCACCAACATCTAGTTCATTTGAGAAAAACAATTACTTCTGTCGAAAGAGATTATCCTAATAGGAATCGTGTTTACAATGATAAAGTACAGGTTAATAATGACCTTTGCGTCCCTCAACCATCTCGGTGTTGTCAGACCTGGTTTAAGCCTTTTAACATTTTTTCCTGCATAAATTCTGCTTATCTAAAAGTTCTTAAGACATAGAACAATAAATATGCTGTAAATGAAAACTCCAACCAAATTTTGTCCTTTCATTACACAGAATAGAATAATTACTTGCTTTTAGTCATTTCTTTCAAACATCGAGATTGTTTTATGATATTGTCGAACATTGAGCAAATTCATTTGTACAAAATCAGTTGAACGGACGGCTTCAGAATATTCAGTACGCCTAAAACTGACATTAATTAATTAATTTATTTTTGATACTCTCCTTTCTTAACGCAGACTTTGATTCGTATACAGTTTAAACTAGCATTCTTTTAATCTCGAAAACTAGTGTAATTTCAATTCGCCATTTTAATACCAATCTTAAGCAAACAGTGACAAAATTACGCCTGCATTGTAATTTACATTAATCAATGAAATAATGGTATACTATGTTGATGTACTTAATATTATCAGTAATAAAATCTCGCATACAGCAAAATTTGCACATACTATGAAAGAAATTCTTTCAAATATTCTGTTTTTTTAATAAAAATTATTATTGAAGAGGTAAGTAATTACGGCGATAATAAAAATGGCATCAGATCGTCACCGCTTGGGCAGGCTAGTACAGAACAGCGTGAAAGATAATACATAAAATCTGCGTAGCAGATTAAAAAATATCAGACTTGGTTAATAAAAGCGTTCAATGAGAAAGAGTTGATTTACAGTTTTCGGCTCGACCGTATCAATGTTTAAGACGAATTCCATAAGGCTAGCTCAGTGAACCTGCCTTTCCCCACATGGTCGAAGGGAAAGATGAGAGAGTTATTTCTGCAAGTAGCAAATCAACTCCAAAACACGTGGCGTAGGGTAATGTCGATCAGCAAAGTGAGCTTCCACCATTGCTGAAATATGGCCTATATAAAATGCTAAATAAGCAGTGAACCATTGCTCCCACATTTACTTATTTATTTCAAATGGTAGGCGTTTTGATAGTTATCTTAAGCCCTTAAGTTGACTTCAGGTTCCACAGAGAGGAGGAGGAGGAGGAACATCAAAATGTGTGACAAATTCGAGAGGGGGAACAGAAGAGCGATTCACGGATGTAAAAGAGGCAGACAGACATAAGGGTAGGGAAAAAGGTAAGATGAGTACTGTGATAGGGGTCGAATATGACAAGCAGTTGGGCCATGGTATTTTGAAGTCAGAAGTCAAATACCGATTAATAGACTTATTTGTCGTATGAGTATACGTTGCCCAGGGTGCACCACGTGGAGGTAAGTCTATCGCACACCCCTCAATAAAAGTCAATTTTAAAGATACTTGCTTAGGTGAATTTTTAAAGAAAATTTTCTGCGTTTTTCCCATCTGCAAGACATTAATTATATAACAGTTTATCTAACAATTACAGCCTATTTTGCGCTTCGTTCTAAAATTAATAATTTTAAATCTTATTAGCAAGCGGATTGAAATGAGTAGTATGGCAGTATTGCAAGAATTGGAAAAAATAGATGAAAGTTCCGTATATTTGGGTAAAAATTAAGGAAAGTTAATACAGGTCAAACTTATTAAGATGATGGAATGTCAAAGACTCTTAGAGCTGCTTTTAGGTAATGAAAACATTGGAAAATACGTTTGGCGCATATGATTCCCAAATTTAAACTAATGCTTCGATTTATACACTTTGAATTCAAAACGATTTTCTGGTGCCAAAATATTATATTTAAATAATTTGTCTACCTTGTATTGTTCTGAAATATTTTCAATTTTGTTGCGTGTTAAAACATTAATTTTGAGTTAGATCTGTCTCCAAATTACGAAATTTTAAAGGCTAAAATCTTATACATCACCAGCGAACGGTTTAGCTCTCTCAATCTGGGAAAGTGTTTAACTCGAAATACTTATTACATGAATGCTAATGGCTATTTCATGGGAAAATTTTACATTGGTGCTTCGTTGTAAAAACAAATTGTAAATTATAACTACAATGCAATCACATAAGCATATAAATATATTTACTAGAGAATGTACCCCGAAATGTTCTTGTTTAATGCGAGAGAATAATTGGGAAACATATCGCTTTATTTAGTAAGGGAAATGAGAACTATATAAGTATGAATTCTTCCAACGAACATGGAAACAAACGAGAAGGTTCCTTACTTTTGGCCATAGATCTAAGATTTTGGCAGTGGAATACTCCACGAATAGACTCTTTTCTTACCCGAAATTAGCTAACCAACCTCAACGAAACAGGGCGTGTACCTTGTAATGCGTTTACAAGAGTTTTGCTTATTCTAAAGCCTATCCCCCTCCCCCCTCCCCCCACCCCCCTGCATGGTAACTGGTGCAGAGCTCGTCCATTGAATACTACTTTGGCTACGGGGTGTGAGAAAGACTTACTTCCACGTTGTGCACCCTGGGCAACGTATACTCATACGGCAAAATAGTCTATTAACTGGTAGTTGACTTCTAACTTCAAACTACCATCACCTCACTCTATCCCATATTCGACTATTTCCACAGTATTCACCTCACCTTTTTTCTACCTTTGTGTTTGTCTCTTACATCTTTGAAACACTCTTCTGTCCC